CAGGAGGCCCCGAGGCAGAGGGGGCAGGAAGCAAAGCAGGGCTCAGCCCACCCCCTGAATGGCACCCCCAAGGAGCTGAGGCACCCAGAGAAGGGCCTTCTTGCACAAGAAGGGTTGGTGGAGTCGCTCTTGCTCCATCTGAATTTCCTATGCCCACCTGGATAGCGCCGGCCTGGCTACTCCACGGGGAAAGACCATTCCTGGCTCGGCTTCCCTGGCCAGAAGCACCAGCAAAGGCAGAGGTCAGGGCGAAGCCCTTCTGGTCCCCGTGGCTCTTGGGAAGGAGGCGAGGGTGGTACCGAAGACAAGAACAGGCATAGGAACAGTAACCTAACTGATGCAGAAGAAAAACCTCTGGGACAGGAGGTGGTTTACCACCACCCAGCCTGTAGCAGCTTTGTGGCACCGTGTGGGGGAAGGGCAAGGCCAAGCCCCAGTGGAGCACCCAAACCCTGTGCCACACAGGCTGCCTACACTCCCCTTCAGTCCACCACCCACTGCAGGAGCAGCTGGTAACAGTCAAGACTCCCTAGAGCAGGACCTGCACGCTGCAGAAGGCACCTGTGCTGGTCCTCTCCTGCTCCCATGGCTACAGCAGCAGGTGGTACAGGGCACACTCCGGTCCTCCACCAGCCAGCGTTAGTGCTGAAGCTGTACCGAAGTCTCTCGGAACAAGGCACAGCACCATGCAGGGATCCAAGGAAACAGGTGAGTGAAGGGCTGTGTGGAGGTGGGGCTCCAGGATGAAGTCTCTCATCAAGGAAGAAGCAGAACCACAGAAAGGACAAGTAGCATTGGCAACTTATTCTTCATTTACCCACCGAGAAACAGAATTAGGATCGTTTTTGGATGTATTTCTTTTGGAAATGAGCCAAACTGGCAACTAGAATCAAAGTCTTCAAAAAGTCTATACAAAGATGTATCATACAAAATGTACAGGAAACTTCTCCAAAAAAAAAAAACCCAACAAACAAAACAACACCAAACCCGACAGACAATACAACAAAAGGGGAGCAGACAGTGTGAAACTACAGCTAACAGGTCCTGGCCCCGCTCTGGAGGGCAGAAGCGGCATCTGGACAACACGCTCCAAACACAAAATACATACACTATATACACGAGCGTATAAAGATCAGCATCCCCTTTGGTCTAACCAGGAGCTCTCCAGCATGAAGTTGGGGCAGTTCCAACAATCTGCTCATGGAAGTGTTACATGCCGAGAGGGGAAAAAAATCCAAGGGAATGAAATGGTCAACTCTAAACCATAACCAGAATACAGCCAGGTCACCAAGGCTACAGAGTTTAACAGTCAGTTCTGGCTAACAAGTGCTTTGCGGGCATTACTCCATCTCTGTGAAGCGAGCGAACATGGCTTTCCGCACCGCGTCCTTGTATGAATCTGCAGTGGAGACACCGTAGGAGCTGCCCTTGGCTCCCAAGCCAGCTCCTCTCATTCGTACTTGGGCCTGCAGGGGAAGAGAGACACGCTTCAGCTCTGCAGTGTGAGGCCACGCCACCGCGCAGGACACCACAGAACACCTGAGCGGCCTGGCCAGCTTCTGACACTCCCCCGAGATGCCACACGGCCACCCAGAGCTCAGCCCGCACACAACATCCCACGCTTCACACCGCTCCGAACCCACACCACCCTCAGCAGCACTGGGGCACACGGCCACAGTGCCTCTCAAGAGCAGACTTCTGAAGAAGGAAGCACAGCCCTGCCTGTCGAGTCCCAGCTCTGCCCCAGCTTTAGCATCTGACAGGACAAGGAAGAGC